CCCCCCCCCCCCCCCCCCGCCAGAGTAATATAGATCTGAAAATTCATTTATGCTCGAAAAATACTTATATTATAAAAATTATAAAATTAGATAATGTTGCCAAGCATTGTTTCACAATATTAGCCTATTGCATAATTTTATAGGAATTAGGCTCTCGTGTTCCACAATTAATTGCAGTTAGTAAGATGCAACCAGCAGAAGCTGTTATAGAGGCCCACAAATGTGGACAAAGACATTTTGGTGAGAATTATGTAAGTTGTAATAAAATGTACTACAGAACATCATTAATTAACTGATGACAGACGTACGTACAGAAAATTAAGTGATTGGCCATATTTATTTTAGAAGATGTCTGAAATGTCTTCAAGTCATGCATCTGAGACAGCTAGCTTTATTCAAGTTTTCAAGTATAAATATGGGAAATTAAGGGAACAAATAAATAATTAATTAATGGTAATCTGTTAAGGCTGTCCAAATGATGCCTTAATTAGCAGATGTCATAGTTGTTGTAGATGTTTAATTTGTCTAGTGTAAATATGAAGACATCTAAAATGGATGCACTTAGTAAGGATTATATTGTTAATGGAGGTCAAATTAATAAAAAATGCTGTGAAATGTTGATATATAATTATTATTTTACAATAACAAACTTCTTTTTGTAGGTGCAAGAAATAGTGGAGAAAGGTAGCCACCATGAGGTCAGAGTAGATTCGATGTCTTGCATTATAGAATATACATGCATATTGCATTATATGTACAAGGTAATGTAGCTCCATTATTTCTGTGCTTCTCATGTTTATCACTTGTTTGTGATTTTGTTTCACAGGTTCTTGAATTAGAAGATATAAAATGGCATTTTATTGGCCATTTACAGAGAAACAAATGTAATAATTTGACAGGTACTATTTTAATTCTTTCATATGAACTGATGCCTCATCAGAAACTCAATACCTCTGAAATTATGAATCCAACTTTCACAGAAGGCAAGTTATTCCCTCCCCAAAATTTCAAGTTAAGCATAAAATTATTACAAGCGTGAATCTTCAAGTGAGTGTTTGATCAAACGCCTTTCTGGGCAAGGCCTGGTGTTGTGAATATACAGTACCTGTTTTCCACTTGCAAATTGTTTTGCATGAAGTGAATTTTTCGTTTGTTTTTTGGTCTCTCAACACCTGAACCATCAGGAACTAATTATTATTAAGACAACAGAAAAATTTGCTACACACGAAAAAATTCCCAAATGGAAAACCGACCTTAAAATGAGTTTATTTTATTTAGCGGTACCAAACCTCTACATGGTTCAGACCATTGATACAGCCAAGTTAGCCTTGGCGTTGAGCAACTCTTGGGAAAAACAAAACAAAACGTGCAGGTTAAAAGTGATGGTACAAGTCAACACCAGTGGAGAAGAAAGTAAGTTGGATTCATGGTTAGATTTTGAAACTGGAAGATAAGTCTGTTCTGCTCTTGTGTTTGTTGAGATAGTATTTTTGATTCTGCGAAGAGAGATATTTGACTGCCGCTATTCCTCACTGGTTTTAATATCATTGATCTGAAGAAGGTAATGTTGAAACATGAACAAACAAATAAATTATGGAAAAACAATTTGTTCTTTCGTTGGTCTAAATGTGAAAATTCTAAATTTCACATGTGAACTGTTCCAATTTCAAGTAAAGTAATTTTTCAGTTTGCCTGATGTGAAGCCACTTTGAGTAACATCACCTAACAGACGTTTTTGGTCTTAAATTATTTGCCAGATAAATCAGGATGTCCTCCCGAGAGTTGTGTAGAATTAGTTAAACATATTATGGACAAGTGTCCAAGCCTGCAATTCTCTGGGATCATGACCATTGGTGCTCTGGCACGCAGTGTTCAACAAGACCAAGAGCAATCAAACGAAGATTTTGAAGTAGGTTTTTAATTTTGGTGAAAGAAATATATAATTCTATTCATCATCATTGTTATATATGATTGCCTATTTGGGCAAAATGCACCTTCTTAACTCCTAGTCATCTTAACTACTAGTTATCTTTATAACTATTAACAAAAAAGGAAATAACCATCTCTCCTTGCAAATTCTGGAGCAAAACCATTTTAGTACAAGAAACAGAATTCTTTGGACCTCTACACACTAGCTGCCTGTAATTACTTGAGATACTGTATATACAAAATTAAGTTGGTTTTAGAAGATATTCAATTGTTTTTATTTTCCTTTGGCGCTATTATAATGACATAAATGTGTATTCTTTAGTTACTACTTGCTTGCAGAAGAAGTATATGTGAGAAACTGAGCCTTGCTATTGAAGATGTACAACTGAGTATGGGAATGTCTGCGGACTTTGAACATGCAGTAAGTGAAAGCAAATAGAGAGGTTCAGATTAGAGTTCCACCACCGCTACCATTGCAGGTCCGTTAACCAATCAGATGTGTTTGATATATCCGATTAACCAATCAGATGCGTTTGATATATCTGATTAACCAATCAGATGCGTTTGATATATCTGATTAACCAATCAGATGCGTTTGATATATCAGATTAACCAATCTGATGCGTTTGATATATCTGATTAACCAATCAGATGCGTTTGATACATTCGATTAACCAATCAGATGCGTTTGATATATCCGATTAACCAATCTGATGCGTTTGATATATCCGATTAACCAGTCAGATACGTTTGATATATCTGATTAACCAATCAGATGCGTTTGATATATCTGATTAACCAATCAGATGCGTTTGATATATCAGATTAACCAATCTGATGCGTTTGATATATCTGATTAACCAATCAGATGCGTTTGATACATTCGATTAACCAATCAGATGCGTTTGATATATCCGATTAACCAATCTGATGCGTTTGATATATCCGATTAACCAATCTGATGCGTTTGATATATCTGATTAACCAATCTGATGCGTTTGATATATCCGTTTAACCAATCAGATGCGTTTGATATATCTGATTAACCAGTCAGATACGTTTGATATATCTGATTAACCAATCAGATGCGTTTGATATATCCAATTAACCAATCAGATGCGTACTAAGCCAGCGAGAGTCAAATCTGAAGCTCACTGAGATTATGTAGAGTATGTATACACCTTGAGAAATTTAACTAAACAAACACAAAAAGCCTTATTAGACAGTGGTCAACTCGAAAGCCTTATGCTACTTTCACCACTGCATGTGCACATTTAATTACTATACACCTCCATAACTTTTACTCCTTTATTACATACCCATTTACCATTTGTATAATACTTGTATATAGTTTATGTGTGCTAAATTAAAATTATTATTCTTCTACAAAATTAAATGCATCTATATTTTATTTCATCAATTCCAAAACATTTCCGATTGTCAATAGTCAACATCAATGTTCAGAAACGCGAGTTTTCACACAGTGTAATAAGTATTTCTCACAATGCTAGCCTACAATAAACATCTAACCGCACATTATAAAACAAGTGACAAACGTACTACTAACTGCGGGCTTTATCCTAGACCTGATATCTGAATGTAGACTTGGAGGAAAGCTTTTCCT